TTGTAATAGAGTAGCTATTTTCCTGGTACTGCCCCAAGGCCTAAACATTAGGAATGAGCTAGAACCCTGGTGTGAACTTGAAAACTTTCGGCAATGTGTATGAAGCATCCATAAACACACTTAATTGGAAGAAAAAATAACTTGTGTCAAGTCCAGGAGAGTCTGTAATTATTTAATTCCTATATTATTAAAGCAATAAATGAATTAATGAAGACATTACATTCATCCTTGTGCTCCATAATATAAATTCCTCCTAAAGCTCTCTTAATTCTCCTTCCTCTTTTGATGGTTATGGGCAATTTGCTTCCCATCCAAAAATGTAAATTTCTACATCTTAAGTGCTCTGTACATTTCACTGATGAATGATCCGAGTCAGTAGAGGTGTCTGGTAGTAACAATAGATGTTGGCTGTTGAGGAGGGGGGTGGGGTGGGGGTGGAAGAGCTACATAAAGTTATTTCTACCACAGTCATTTAAACTATACATTTGCAAATTAAAATCTCAGTAGAAGTGATACATTTCTCACCCCTAATATGCAGTGGGCTCCTTGCTAGACATTTAAGTGAACCACTAATTATTCTTGACATTCTTTGCATTCTTTCAGAGCATTAAGCTGCTGAAGAAAGATATGGCAAGAGGGCTTGGAGGATTTCCTCTGTGAGAAAACAAAAGGGGAAATGTTTTTGTGTATTGGCTTGATCCTAATGAGCATCCCCAGTTCCCACTGACTTCATCTGCTGGAGCAGAGAGTGCCCACCATCTTGCAGCATTGGAGCCTTAAATAGTCTGTGAGTGGACTCTTAGAATCTGAGACTGTGTTTCAGAGAAAGTGATGACCTATTTCAATATACTGGGGGTTGCTCAAAAGAAATCACTAACGGGTCTTACCTGCTGTAAATTGGGTAAGGTAGGGTCCAGGAGAAACCTTATCGCCTTCTGCTTCAAGTTCATTTGTTTGACTTTGCCTTCTCTAACAATCACATAGCAATATGTGTATTTAAAAAAAACCCCTCAAATACGAACTCCTAATCAAAACAAGACAGTCCACTGCACAAAATGTTCTCCTCCCGGAGAGGATGAGAGAACAAACACTATGTACACATATATAGCAATGTTGCTTCCTGCGCTTCTGGAACATGTTTAGGTGCTACAGTGACAGTCTGGGCTTGTCTACATTACAAATACTCCCATTGTGCAGCTGCAGTACTGCAGAAGGACTGTAGTGCTTAAGTGTAGAGATAAGCCAGGGTCACCAACCAGTAGATCGGGATAGATCTTGGAGCCTTTGACCGGTGATCCTGACAGTTTGGCCAGGAGGCTGTCAAGTGCCAGCACTTCATCTGCTCCTGTCAGCACTGCTGTGCTGCTCCTGCCCTCTGCCTTGGAGCTGCCCACCAACCCCCAGGAGTCTCCTGCTTGCTGTGCAGGGCACGGGAAGAAGAGAGGGTGATGTCAGAGTGCCCCTCCCCCCACCCTGTACCCCATCGCCACAGAGTGGCAAGCATGGAGACAGTTTGCTGGCTGCTTTTGGGAGTGATGCAGGGTCAGGGTAGGACTGAGCCTGCCTTAGCCCCCTGCACCACAACCCAGAAGCCGCCTGTGATAAGTGGTGCCTAGCTGGAGCCTGCATTCCAAACCCCCCTTGTCCCTAGGACTGAGCCTGCCTTAGCCCCCTGCACCACAACCCAGAAGCCGCCTGTGATAAGTGGTGCCTAGCTGGAGCCTGCATTCCAAACCCCCCTTGTCCCCCAAACCACTGTCCTAGCCCCGAGTACCCCTGCACACAAACTCCCTCCCACAGCCTGCATCCACACACCCTCAGGCTTAGCTCAGAGCCCCTCCCACACTCCAAATCCTTTAGCACAAGACCATAGCCTATAATCCCTCCCCTGAACCCCAAATCTTTGCCCCCAGCCTGATAAAAGTGAGTGAGGATGGGTGAGGATGGAGTGAGCAGGGGTGGGGCCTCAGAGAATGAGGCAGGGCAACTGTGTTTGGGTTTGAGGGAGATCCTGGATTGCACTTAAATTCAAAAAGGTGATCTCATGCTTAAAAAGGTTGGATACCACCGAGTATAAGCTATGCCAGAGGGAGGGGGTTATTCTTTCAACAAAAGTCATCCACATCCCTGAGAGGCAACAGCTAGCTAGGCTGGTTTAACTACATGGCCCAGGGGGGTGGAATTTCACACCCTCAAGTGACAATCTACTTTTCCAGTGTAGCCCAGCCCTTAGATATAAGAACCTGAATACAACTGAAATAGAGTAGGGGTCAGAAAAATGTATAAAGGTGTTGGAAAAAGGGAGCAACAATTCCCTATTCATCCTTTTCCTCAACCAAAAACCCCCACCTCTTCCTTTTCTGAATAAAATTGGTGAAAAGCTACATACATAATGCATTTCATATTGGTAGATATTTGTGCCAGACTGTTTTTCAGACATGTTCACTCAAAAAGCAAAGCACTGAAGTGTTAACAACAGAGCTATCTTGTAGACTCACATGAACATTGCTACATATCTCAAAGTATCTACTCCAGTATATTAATGTGTAGGGGCAGCAACATACTTTTCAACATCTATGATCATGTAATTGTGGTCTGATACAAAGATAGGGTGCTCTTGTAGACAAACTAAACCGACTTAACTCAAAGAATTACATAAGGATTTTCTTCCAAGTAGGAGCACTAGAAATGCATATTATGTAACTTTTATACCATGTTCTCCAGAATCAAAGCTTTTATGAAAAAAGTACCTCAGGTGCTGAAGAAAGCCATCATGCCATGTATCATCTTGGTTGTTTTGTAGCTCAACACTCGATATAATGTAACACCAACAGACGTGAAAAATTCCCCCATTTGTGTTAGTGGAGTATAAACATCAAAGCCTAGCTTTTACCACTAAAAATTGCTTATATATTTACACCACTTTGTCTAAAATGGAAACACTCAGTTCAGCCACAGAAACAGTTAATGTCAGCCAACAGTTTAAATATGTTCATTTTGAAATGCAAAATACAATTGGCTCCATCTTTAACTAGGAAACTCACACGTCAATCACTACGTAGATTTCTTCCACTCTCCCCTGTTAAAAAGTGATTCAGGAATATTGTTAATATAGATAATACAAACAGATCAGTAGAAAGGATGATCTTATAGCCAAGGTCCAGGACTGGGGCTCAGGACATACTGAGTTGAGTCCTGGCAGGCTTTCTGGGTTGCTTTGGATAAGTAACTTGTTCTTCTCTATCTCACAGTCCAAACATTTGTAATGGTTTATAACTCTAAGGCCATGTCTACACTAGGAAACTATTTTGAAATAACTAAATTTGACTTAATAACTCCCGATTTTACAAAATCAAATTAGCATGTCCCCACTACAGAGAAGCTTCAAAATTAGTCCGAGGCCTGGTAGTGTGGACACTCCACTTATAAATTCAACTTAAGGGGGTTATTTTGAAACCATTCCCTCATGAAGACCAGGGCTAACAGAGAGCCAAAGCCGGTGCAGGAACAGAAGGCATTGGTTAGAATATCAGTCTATCACTACCTCTATTTTCTAGTGAATCATTGGAGTACACAAGAACCTTTTGCTATGATCCCGCATTTAGTTCAGGGCTCATTCATTTACTGCCTGGGAAATGGACCACATCTGTTACAGGATAATTTCTGACTGGTTACTGTATCAGAGTGTAGGGATCTTGGTGAACAAGGAGTGAACTTCAGCTCAACTTCCCCTTCCCTAAACTCAGAGGAACAGTGCCTAGCTAAATACAAAAACTGGAAAGATTTAATTTATATTAATGTAAACAAAAACAGTGCAAACCCATGTGTGGGAACACTTAAGATAGGTGTAAAACTGATTATATCAGTAAATGTACAAGTGTCAGTTAAAGCACCATAAGCTAGGTTTATATTAATAGCTTCCACACTCAAAGATGCAACACTTAGTTGGTTTGAAATCACATCACGGCCACTTAATAGTTAGTGCAGACCTTAGAACAGATGCTTAGAAAAGGGGGAGGGTGCTCTCAAAACATATATTTTTTTTTAAATCATATATTATTACCCACATTAACCCCCTGGGGACCCTTCATTGCAAGTGCCTTTAAAAAAAAAAGCAGTTAACTCCTTCCACCATGGTAGAGATATGTTTTGGGCTACTAAGGCTACAGACCAGATCCAAAAGGATTTGTGATAAAGTTCAACCAAACTCTAACCCTTGACTGAGAAACACCCTGTCTAGAAATACAGACACACAAAGTTATAGTGAAACCATGGACCTTTTTCTCTCCCCCACCCCCTCTGGTATCGCTGGTAATAATCTTTACATTTCAGATCAGATGCTAATAAAATTGAATCACTTTCTTTCAGGAAGCCAGACAGGAACAGTTTTATGGAGTATATTAAATAGTATTTATTAGAGTCTGCAACTGCAGGAGCAGAGCTACTGTGCTCTCAGCCCCAGCTATACGTACATTGTGATATGGAGCATTCTTAATATTCTTTCACCCATTCAAGAAACACAGTCCCTCTTCATAAATGAAGTAATATGAAAGGGTTATTTATACCTCAATTTTGTAAACAGAATCAGAATCTTTTTCTTATTCACAGATACATCCCCTTCTCCCAAACTTTAATTATTTCTACTGAAAAGGAGCTTGGCCTCCTAGGCTATGTCTAGACAGAAGGCTTCTTTCGGAAGAAGCTTTTCCGGGAGAGATCTTCCAAAAAAACTTTTTCCAAAAGAAAGCATCCACACTGCCAAAGCGCATAAAAAAAGAGATCTGCTTTTTTGAAAGATAGTGTCCATTCAGTGGACGCTATCTCGCATTTAAGCTGTGATTACTATGGACGGGATGGCCACCAGGGCACCTGTGCTTTTTCTTCTTTCCTCTTCTTCCAAAAGAACACCCTCTTCCCCATCCACAAATGCCTTTTTCCGAAAGAGCTATTTTGGAAAAAGGCCTCTTCCTTGTAGAAAGAGGTTTACCAATGTCAGAAAACGCCCTCTGTTCTTTAGATTTTTTTTCAAAAGAATGCAATTGCAGTGTGGACGTAAGTGAAGTTTTTTCAGAAAAACAGCCGTTTTTCTGCAAAAACTGTAGTATAAACATAGCCCTAGTGACTGGTGCTGGAGTGGGAATGGTCCGTCCTAATGTAGAAGAAATTGAAGGAGACTGCTCTAGTTCTCTACCAGGTGAACACAGGAAAAGATGGGTAGCTAATGGGAGGAATGCATCAGTTCTCACTGGGAGAAGACTGATGACTGAGGTTGTGAAGAGATTCTTAGCACAGGGAAGTGTCAGTGCCCTTCAGCTGGGGAAGAGCTGCCCTTCTTGGGAGGCCTTTGTATCTCAAACTGGGGAAGCTTCCCCCCCCAGAAACTCTTACATCAGGGGCTGTTTGGGCTTGCCACCTCGATTTTAACCACAGTGACCTCTGACATATAGGAAGAAAAGGCATCATGCGATATACACAAATACATATTTACAGATTATGTGGCAAAAGAGGGAATTAGATACAGGATCATATATTTATGTCCCTTAGCAAATGAAAAGGTCCCTAATGTGGATCTGGATGTTGTTCAGAGTTCCTTTAAAACTGTTATTTTCTTTGCGCATCAGGCTTATTGTTTTGCAAATGAGCCAGTGTGAATCTCATTGGGATAAACTGATGTTACTCTCACTTAAACCATGGTCATAACCTTCAGAGTGGCAGGTTGGAACCTCCTAATCTTCTTTTTCAGTGCCTTAGAAGCTTTGATGCGACAGATTTTGGGCATGGGAGGAAGAGGCTTGAAAGAGGTGTGGACAGCTCCTGGCTGCCTGACAGAAGTTTCGGGCCAGACCAACTCACTTTCATCCGCATCATCATAGTCAAGAGTGAGGCTGCTGCTACTGCTGCTGCCCTCTGAATCACTTTCACTGGACTCGCTGTCCCCAAAGCGGTTGGTTGTGTAATCACTGACCTCGCCTTCACTGGTCTCTGCAATGGTGGAGTGGAAGAGGGAAGCACATTCAGCAGAGTATTCAGAATGATCTGACTCGCTTTTGGCATACGTTCCATGGCGGTGGTGCTTTGAATGTGCCCTGGTGCTTACAGTGCGCAGGACCCCAGCTCTCCGTCCTGGCTGTCTCGGTGGCCCGAGGCCAAAGCCATTGGAGAAAGTGGAAAGGTGGGCCTTTGCTGAGATTTCCACAGTGGACTGCCACTTCCGCTGCTTTTTCTTGGTGGCTGTGTCTATGTAAGCCGTTTCAAGAGAATACAGCGCATTAGCAGATGCCCGGTAAAGTTCGGGCCTGGATGGCACTGAGGGGATTCTGATTTGCACAGGGAATAGGCTGGATTCTGAGCAAGACCTGCCAGTAACCTCTCCAGCATAGGCAGGCCTCTGGACCAGGCTCTTTCCTCCATGCTGTCTTTGAGGGACCCACTCAACAGGCAGCCTGGCAGCTCCATGGACTCCCCTTGACTTTTCTGCACAAAGGGTCTGCTTCCCAGGCCTCACCGCCTTCTCACTGTTCCGCCTCTTAATCTTCACAGACTTCATTCTGGAGCTGGCAAACCTCACTCTGACTTGATGGGATTCTGCAGGGACAAACTGAGCATGAACAAATTCACTCTGAGTCCCTGGCTCATCACCCCCGGCATTAGCCATCCTCAGGTTGGCATCCTTTCTGTTCAGCTTTTTGGGCAGGAGAGCATTAGTGTTCAAGATATCTGGACGAGAGATCTCATGACATATCTGTGAGCAGGAGGAACTGTGCTCCAAGCCATTCCCCACTGCTTCTGCCAGGGGAGAGCCCCTGACTGTTGACTTGGCAGGGTAACAACTATTTACAACTGATGACTCTGGGTCAGGCTGGGTGGTTGGCTGCTCTACATTCATACAGTGCACAGTCCCCTGCTGCCTGGCACATTCCCCTTCAAGCACCTCCCTCTGCAGTTTCCCTTCCGCTTTGTTCCTTTCCAGAAAGCTGCCTTGTTTTTCCAGCTGGCTGCTGCTGCTGCTAATTCTCACTCCACCAGTGCAGGGCGTTATAATGAGTCTCTGGGGCATGGTGAATGGTTGGCTCTTTGTTGAAACCTTCTCACTGGCATCAGCACGATTGTTCCCTCTGCATCTCGTCATCTGCAGCAGTTTGTTGATATAACCCCCTGGCCTGGCCTCAATCACTGGCCTAGTCCTAATCAAGCTGGGACCTGTAACACTAGTTGCGGGTTTATTGGGGGAAGGGCACTTGTCTGTTTCCAATGGTATCCCCACCAGAGAAAAAAGCGGGCTTTGTAAAGCCACAGCATGAAGAGGGCTCGGGTAAGGATACACATCATTGCCGCTCTTGGAGATCAAGTCATTTTGGTACTTTGGGTCCATGCTGTGGAATTGCAGATCCACTCCATGACAAAGCTGGGGTGCAGATTTGGGATCTGTCACTTTCTGATATCCGGTGTCTGCTGGTAGGAGTCTTTCCAGATCACCTGGATATCGAATGGAAATAAATCAAAATGTTATATCACTGGTAATTTCTTCTATTGCCTCATTTTAGGTTTTAAGGAGTAAATTTCAGAGACAATTTCATAATCCTTTGTCTTCTAATGAGTCTATATCAGAGTTAGTGTAATCATGACAAAATAATTTTTAATACCGTATTTTCCGGTGTATAAGACGACTTTTGATGTTAAAAAACATCCCCCAAAAATCGGGGGTCGTCTTATACGCCGGGTATACAGGCGGCGGGGCGGGGCCCCTCCGCAAAGCTGCGGAGGGGTTC